AACGCCCCAATCAGGACCGCCTTCACAGCAAACGCCCCAATCAGGACCGCCTTCACAGCAAACGCCCCAATCAGGACGGCCCTTCACAGCAAACGCCCCAATCAGGACGGCCCTTCACAGCAAACGCCCCAATCAGGACGGCCCTTCACAGCAAACGCCCCAATCAGGACCGCCAGCACAGCAAACGCCCCAATCAGGACCGCCTTCACAGCAACGCCCCCATCAGGACGGCCCCTCACAGCAAACGCCCCAATGGGGTGGACTCCGGCAGAAGCCAGTTCCTGACGGCGCGGCTCGCGGCCCGCACCCCGCGGTTCAAAGCCAGCCCGGTAACGTAACCACCAGAAGACCGGAAGTGACGCTGTGGCTGAAAATGGCGGAGCGCTCGCCCGGAGCGAAGGCGCTCAGGGCCAGCTCCAGGCCCGAGTTCAAGCCCCGCGACCGACCGAAAAACAAAACACAAAGACCCACCTTGCGGGTGATGTTGTGCACGTAGGGACAAGTGTTGCAGGCGAAGCGGTGGCAACGCTGTCCCTCCTCCACTATCAGCCCGTTCCCGCAGCCGGGGCAGAAGAGCAACATCACCTCAGCCCTGCCGCGCGGACGGCACCGGCGCGCCAGCCCCGCCGCTCGCCGGACGCACGCGCCCGGCGGGCCCAGCACGACGCGCTTCCCATTGGTCGGCCTCTCCCATGGTTCGGCCCCCCTATTTCTGATTGGTCACCACAACAGCGTCTTCCCCTCAGCCTTCCAATTATTATCAACCAATCATGACGCAACCCTGCGGCAGGCGCCTCATTGGTCAGTCGGCGGGCTCCAGGCTGGCCTGCCTCGCCGGGACGTGCGCAGTACGTACGCGGTGCCTGCGCGTGCGCGCGGCGCGTTCCCTGTGGGAAGGCTCTCGCTGGGGCCGGGACCCCAGGCGCACAGCCCTGGCGGAGGCGCAGGCGCAGGCGCAGGCGGAGGCGGAGGCCGGGCTGGAGGCGCCCGAGGAGGAGGACGAGGAGGAGGCGCTGCCGCACTCGGAGGCCGTGGACGTGTTCCAGGAGGGCCTCGCCATGGTGGTGCAGGACCCGCTGCTCTGCGACCTTCCCATCCAGGTGCGCGGCGGCCGCCGCCGGGCCGGGCCTCGCGGGCTGCCTTTGGCCTCGGGGCCCGGGCGCTTCCCTGAGCTTCCTGTGCTCAAGGCTGGCGCTCTCCCACTCGGGCCACGGCGCCACTTCCGGCTTTATCTGCTTATGTGGCGCTGAGGACTCGAACCCAGGGCCTCGGGCGCTCTACCACCGACCACCTTCCGCCCGGCCTCTGCTTTCTGAAAATGCTTTATTACCGACGTGCACGTGCCGGCGCCGTGGCTCGCGCCCGGCACCCCAGCTGCGCAGGACTGGGATCTGAGGATCGGGGTTCAAAGCCAGCCCTGAACCACCAGAAAACAGAAGCGAGGCTGTGCCTCCAAGTCAGAGAGCTAGCCTTGAGCCAGAAAAGTTCAGGGACAGTCTCCAGGCCCCGAGTTCAAGCCCACAACTGACCAGAAGTACAAAAGGACTATCATGAGCAGTTTTTGGTGTCTAGTCAGCCTCGCTGCCAGGCCCAAAGTCCCAATTCAGCCCCATTCTTGTTGGTGGTGGTCGGTTGAACTCGGGGCCTGGAGCTGGCCCTGAGCTCTTCAGCTCAAGGCTAGTGCTCTCCCACTGGAGCCACAGCGCCACTTCCCAGCCCCATTCTTTTCTGGGTCCATCCCTGCTATTTCCTCCTCACAGCCTCTGTCCACTTTGGACATTATATATAAATGTGGGTAGGATGAAAGACTACAGTGCTGGAAAACTGGGAAAGCCCCTTCACACCCTTCATAATGCAGGGTGCTTCTTTTGAAGCATTGTCAGCTTACGTCTCTTTCGGGCGAGAAAAACACTTCCCACCTCTGCTTCTGGTCTTTTCTAGGTTACTTTGGAAGAGATCAATTCCCAGATAGCACTGGAATATGGCCAAGCAATGACTGTCCGAGTTTGCAAGATGGATGGAGAAGTAATGCGTGAGTACTATCCTCCTCCCTTGAGGCCTGAGATGTTAACAGAGCTAATCTTGAGAAACTTGGAGGGCATGCCACAAAGCTGCCCTGCCCAACAGAGCAGAGCCAGCAAGTTCTAGGTTCTGTTCCTGCCCCCTGGTGCGCTGGCTGTGGATTCCTACAGGGTTTTTCTCCCCCATGTGTCCACGGTTGCAGCGGTGGTGGTAGTGCAGAACGCCACGGTCTTGGACCTGAAGAAGGCCATCCAGAGATATGTGCGGCTCAAGCAGGAGCGTGAGGGGGGCATTCAGCACATCAGCTGGTAGGTGGAACAGCAGCTTCTTCACTGTAACCATTCCCAGGGCTGGTGTGGGAAAACAGAAGCAGCTTTCAGCTTCCAGTGTTCATACCCAGGTTCTGCTACAATAGTGACTGCAGTACGGAATCCTGGGGAGTGAGGGTCATCTTCCCTGGGTGTCACCTCAGGGCCTTATGTGACCAGAAGTGGCTTCTCTCGTTATGGATGTTACGCCTGTCACCGCCACTTCTTCCCCTCACCTGGGTGCTGTCAGCCCTGAGTCTCCAATTGGATCAAGTGTCCTGTAGCTGAGTCTTAGTTTATTAGTAAGGTGCATTTGGCCCAGCTACCCCAAACACCAGCTTCTAGCTGCCTCATGCCTGGTGTATACAGTGTGCAGGGGAAAAGCCCAGGAGGGGGATACGGCTGTCCTAGGTGCAGAGGGCTGTGTACCTCAAGCCCCTGTGGTCCCAGATGTTCAGCTCACCTTGTTCAAGGATAGCATGTGGTTCAACGCTTGTTGCAGGTCATATGTGTGGAGAACATACCATCTGACCTCTGCAGGAGAGAAGCTCACAGAGGACAGGAAGAAACTCCGAGAGTAAGTTTAGCCCATGTCCCCAATCATAGGGAGGCATCTGATCTATTACCCTCCAGTGCCCCCGACTTCTGCCAGAGAACAGTAACAGGAGGGTCCCAAGCTGGACTGACCCTCCCATAAGGAACTTCTTGAAGGCCCTCACCACTGGTAGTCAGACAAGCAGCTCCACGGGCCCTGCTCATACTCAGCAGCAGAAGCCCAGGGCTACAGTGCCTCAAAGAAGGAAAGTAGAGCAGTTGTGGAGCGAAAGGCTGCTCTGGTAGTGCAGTGTGGTACACACTATACCACACAGCGTGCCACACCACTTCCTAGATGCCACACTCATCTTCACTTGTTTTCTTTGTCTCTCACAGACACCACTTTCCTTCTCTTTCAGTTATGGCATCCGGAATCGGGATGAAGTTTCCTTCATCAAAAAGCTTAGGCAAAAGTGACCCTCATAGGACATCTGTGCTAACCGGTGGCCAGGCCTCTCCCAGCGGGAGGAGCTCCTGTCACTGTCCTCACCAAAAGATTTTTTTTTTTTTTTGATCGGTTGTAGGGCCTGAACTCTGGGCCTGGGCGCTGTCCCTCAGCTCTTCAGCTCAAGGCTAGCGCCCTACCACTTAAGCCACAGTGCTACTTCTGGCCTTTTCTGCTTATGTGGCGCTGAGGAATGAAACGTAGGGCCTCATGCATGCAAGGCAAACACTCTACCACCCAGCCACCTTACCAAAAGGATATTTGGCTGGCTGCATCCCTGGGGAGACACTCAGGACTAGCACAGTGTCAGCCTCTGTCCCTTCCCTTCCTAGGGACTTGGCCTAAGCCTGCCCTCTCCCTGGGCCCTCAAAAATCAGATCTCACATGGCTAGAGCCCTGGCCTTATGTACAGAATAACCCTATTTGCTTCACATCTGGAAGAATCAAGGCCACAGTAGCCTGTGTGGGAGGGCTGGATTTGCTCTAGGCAAGAGGTCAGCACAGACAGCTGTTGAAGAGTGCTGAAGTCCAAGATACCACATCTGAGCTGGTGGCCACAGCCCTGGCATCTGTTAGCCTGGCTTCCTCAGCAAAGAATAAAAGCCAAGCTGGTGTGCTTGTGGAGACACCAGGAGCTACCTCTCATCCTTGTGGCAGGCGTGGGCTAGGAGGCAGCAGGGGGTGGCGGTGGGGTGTGGAGAAATGTGGCGGCACACGCCCCTAGGTCTGTGTCCCAGCCCTGGCCACCGGTCCCTCCGAGGCCTTGGAGCAAGGTGTGCCACCTAGCTGAGGGAATTCCCCGGGAGATGAAAGAAGCGTGGCTGCATTTAATGCCTACCTCCCTGAGGTACATGTTGGAGGCTGGGACCCTGACGGGCTTCCTACCACAGTCCCCAGCCAGAGACCAGGAAGGAGACAACAACCCTGGTTGTTAGTGGCAGCTAAAACGCTCCCGGTCCATTTATTGGCCACATGAGGTGGTCGTCGAAGGACTAGTTAGAAGTTTGTCATGGGAACTATTGTAATAAATGCCCAGCAATATAAGTGGTTGGACAGACGTGAACAAGGCGGGAGAGGTCTGTGTTGAGGAAGTGCACAGAGCAGGCTGCTCTGTGAGGTGAGCGGTGTGGCCTGGGGCCCGTGGCCGCTCAGTGGAGCTGAGCGTCCAGCTCATACTTCTCACAGAACTTGTCCGTGAAGGGGATGCAGGTGAGGAACTCACACCACTCACAGCGGACGGGGTAGAAGTAGAAGAGGACCACCAGGCCAGCCAGCAGGCCCAGGAACACTGCTTGAAAGATGATGATTTGGCAGCGCTTTCGGTACAGGTCGAACTTGCCGAAACTGATGTACGGCAGGAAGGCAAAGGAAAGGAAGAGGCCGCTGACGAAGCCTGAGATGTGGGCAAAGTTGTCGATCCAAGGCAGCAGCCCAAAAGCGAAGAGGAAGAGCACCACAGCCAGCAGCTTAAAGAAGGCACGCCACGGTCGCGCCAAGATCTGCCAACTCTGGAAGAGCTCCACGAAGAGGCAGGCCAGGATTCCAAACTGGGAGCCGGCCGGGCCCACCTGGGAGCAATGGGATTGACTGTGACTAAGGAGGGTTGTTGATCTGCCTACCCTGCCTCAAGACCTAGAGCCACATGGAGAAGCTCCCTGATCCTGGGGCGGCAGCCTCACCTCTGCCCGGTACGGCAGGAAGATGGCACTAGCCAGGTTTCCGGTGACACCGCTCAGCAAGTAGATGATGGCTATGCGGTGCCAGCCTGCCAGCTTCTCCAGGTCGCGCAGGACCGTCATCTGGAAGCAGACAGACACCAAGCAATGCAGGACCCTGTGGAGGAGACAAGTAAAAGGTGACCTCACCACCTCCAGGAGGAGGGTCGTGCCTGGGGCACTCCGACCACCCGCCAGGACCACATGTGACTTGCCCGGCGTGCAGGAAGAGAGAGAGCCACAGGCGGTAGAACTGATCAGGCACCTCTGGGTTGAGGAAGGGAAGGAGGCCGCACACATCATCCATGCAGTGGACCTGCAGAGTGGTTCATCAGCACCTGCAGGAGGTGGGAGACGTGCACACCCACACGCACACATCCCTCAAGGCCTACCTGAGAGCAGAGTGTGGCCTCCTCATGGAAGTACCCCCTCATGAAGTCACAGTACTCACGGGAGGTGATCTCACACCTGGAGAGTCAGGCTAGGGTTTGGATGTGCTACCGAGTCCAGGGACAGGTACTGTCCACACCGCCCAGGCCCAGGCTTCTGCTGAACACCCACACGCCTGTCCTGGCCCTCTGGGTTTTCCGGACCTTGGGAAGGGGGGATGGCCGCTCTGGCAGTGCTCAGCCCCGGGCCATCCGCATGGGCACACCTACCTGCCCTTGGTGCCAATGCAGCAGGGCCGGCCGGTTATGGCGCAGTCCATGTGTGGGTGGTTGGTGTGGTTCCCAGCACTGTTTTTGGTGCAAATCTGGATCACAAACGGGAGCAACTGGGGTCAGGGCCTCTCTCTGCCATACATTCCATTCAGTGCCAAGGCAAACAAGAAAACCCACAGGGTAGGAAATAGGCTTCCTTGAGTTCAGGCATACTGTTGCACCCTAAGACTAAGCTGGCCCATGTGCCACACTAGAGTATTTAGCCTCTTGCCCCTGCCATGTCTCGGCAGATGTGGATGAGTAGGCTGGGCCGAGGGCAGGGACACAGCTCTGAACACAGGAGGGGGTCCCTTCAGTGGGAGTCTGGGATCATCCATGGTGGGCGTGGTCACCCCCACCCCAACGTGACAAGTGTGACTCCCTGGCAGCCACTGCCCCAGCTCACCGGCCACTTGGTGATGTCTTCTGGCCACTCGTGTGGGTCCTCGGAGGAGGGCTCGTCACACACCCTGCACGCACCCAGATACTGTCAACCTCCTCCATCCCCAGCATTGGTGCCCTCCTGCCCAAGCCAACAACAGGGAACACCCTACCCCTCACAAGCAGATAGGAAGGCGGGTGACAGGCCAGTCAGCAGGACTGACCTGGGGTCCTGGTGGCAGACAGAGCCAAACAGCCTCTTGTGGCCAGCAAGGTCTGGAGCACTGGGATGGATGGGCCACTTCACCCACACTGCCAGAGTGGACTGGGGACACAGGACCAGCCTCTGGTCAGAGCAGACCCTTGCCCACTCTGAGCCATGTGGTGACGAGTCAGGAAATCAAAAGCAAAGCCACCGAGCCCCACTTCACCCTGTGAGCTCCTACCACAGCCACACAGAGCACATAGGGAGGGATTCTGAGAGCAAGCAACAGCAGAACTCCTAGGTAAGAACAGTCTCCTGAATTGAGCCACTGGTATTAACGATGGCACCTCCAGGTAGTGCATGACCAGATCAAGAAGTCAGGTGGTAATCTGTCCAGGACTGGGGAAGCACCAAGGTCAGGGTTGAGAAGGCAAAGTGACAGAGCCTAGAGCTTGGTGAAGCCAGGAACCAGCAGCCACAGAAAAGGAGACTTCCGAGAGGCTGAGGCAGGGGGGGCTCACCGAGCACTCCTCCTCGGAGGTCTGCACGCAGCCAGACCTGTCGTTGCGCACACAGCAGGCTGAGTGCTTCTCCCGCTCCCGGGCCGCGTGGATGAAGCTGTGGACCTGCGGGTCCTGGCGCATGCAGGGTGAGAACTTGGCACCCAGGTGGATGAGGGCCTCCTGTGGTGAAGACGGCAGCTGTGGCCCCAGGCTCCTGCCTGCTAGCGCGCTTCCACGCTCCTCCCAGCCCTGCCCTCACCGAGCTGGGGCCGATCCAGAAGTTCTCCTGCTGCACGTACTTGACGTTCTCATAGACACCACGGTTCCGGAGCACCTGGGGGCCAGGGACAGAGTTCCCACCAGACTTGAGGCCCTCTCCTCCCAGAGGGCGCCCAGAGCTAGGGCTCCAATCATCCCAGCCTGGGAAAAGGGCTGAGGCTCACCGAGTCCACTGTCTCGTGCTGCGAGAAGCCCACCGGCGCAATGCCGTAGATGCACACAGCTAGGATGGTGACCAGTGAGTGGACGAAGGTAAGCCAATAGGTGAAGAAGGGCCTGTGGGGCGCAGGGTCAGTAGGGCACACCCCTAGCCAGAGCCCCAGCCCTGCCCATGAGCCTCCCCTGTACGCCCGGGCTGTGCCCAAGAGGCGGCGCGTTTTCACGGCCTACCTGTGGTCATCCATGTCCTCGATCTGGCGCTTGACATAGCTGTCGATGCGCTTGCGGTAGGTGCGGTTGGTGAGCCGCCCCACCATGCCCAGCCCGTAGGGCCGCTTCTCCCTGGCGAAGAGCTTGTGCACGGGCACGGCGATGCGCTGGCCCCTCCTGGGCCCTGCGGGGCTCACCACCTCCTGCCGAAGCCTCACCCTGGGCTGTGTGGCCAGGGCGCCACCCTCTTTCTGCTTCCGCCAGCCTCGCTCCAGGGGCCTGGAGAAAACCAGCAGCCTCGTTCACCTCCTGCTCAGACCCCACCCGCTTGGCACAGTCCCCCTGCATGGAATCAGGGTCCTGCTCCCTGCTAGGAAAGCACAGGGCAGATTGCTCAGCCTCAGCCTCTTCCTGCTGGTAAAAAGGCAGCCATCCCCCACATCAGGATGGCAGGAAGGAGCTAGGACCCACTAGAGTTTCTGCAGCTCTGCATTAATGAAGATGCCCAGTACTTGGGCTACAGGTGGGCAGTCCAGGCTGGAATCATGCATAACCCTGGGTCCTCCACACTCAGTGCCCAGACCAGTTTCCCAGGCAATTGGACCATGAATGTGGAGTGTCTCTCCCAACAGTCACGGGGATCCTAATGGGACAAAAATTTGCCTTCTAAGCTAGGCACCAGTGGCTCACACCTGTCGTCCTAGCTACTCAGGAGGCTGAGATCTGAGGATCTTGGTCTGAAGCCAGCCCAGTCAGGAAAACCTGTGACTCTTCTCTCCAATGAACCACCAGAAAACCAGAAGTGGTACCATGGCTCAAAGTGGTAGAGTGCTCACCTTGAGCAAAAGAGCTCAGAACAGCACCCAGACCACAAGTTCAAGCCCCAAGACACTTTTTTGTTGTTGGTTGTGGGGCTTGAACTCTGGGCCTGGGCGCTGTCCCTGCACTCTTCAGCTTGAGATGAGTGCTCTACCGCTTGAGCCACAGCACCATTTCCGGCTTTCTAGTGGTTTATTGGAGATAAGAGTCTCATGGACTTTTCTGCCTGGGCTGGCTTTGAACCGTGATCCTCAGATCTCGGCCTCCTCAGTAGCTAGGATGACAGGTGTGAACCACCGGCGCCCAGCTTTTTTTGTCTTTAAGGTTCTCCTGGAGCCATCATCGGCCTGCTGCACTTACAGCATCAAATGGCTCCGCTCAAGCTCAGTGCGACCCAGGGCCCCACCGGTGAGTTCTGCCTGCTCCGAGACTTTCTCCCAGTCCTGGAGCGCCGCCTCTGAAGGGGACTCAAACACCTCATCGGGGTAGGTGGACAGCTCCTCATGAAGGACACCTTCCTGAGCAAACACAGGCAGTTAGGGCGGACCGGGACGCAGCAGCCGAGGGGGCCACCAGCAAGTCTTACCCGGGCAAAGAAGGATGTGTCCAGCTCCTCGGGGAAGTCTGCCGTGTCCTCCTCCAGGAAGCTGGCCGGAGTGAAGCTGCGACGCTGGGCCCGGCGCAGGGTGCCCTCCCTGACCGCGCGACCCTGGGGGCGAGGAGGCCACCGTAGGACCCGGCAGCTGCCCCCGCCCCGGCTCCATCCTCGGCCCCCACCAACCTTCACCAGTGCCGCCGCTGCCCGGAAGCTCATCTTGGCCACGGACTCGCGCTTGCGCCGCCGAGGAAACCGGTTGAAACCTGAGCGGGAACTGGAGAAGGAGCAGAGGGAGGCAGCTCCAGGGGTGATGGGGGTGTGGGGGACACTCGGGCCATCGGCAGCGTCGTCCGCCAGGCGGAAGGCCCGGCCCCGGGCCAGAGGGTCGATGATCTGGTGCAGGCCAGGGGAGAGGACAAGTCAGTGCGGGCGCCTCGGGGAGGCTCGCCCCCTCTCACCCTCACAGCCCTGACAGCTGCATGGGACCACGCTCACCCAGAGCGCTGCCAAGGGGCCTTCTCCCCTCCCCCGCCCCTCCCCTGCTCTGCTGGTCTAGGTGAGATGTTCTCCTACCCAGCTTACCCTGGTACAGACCAGCAACCTTCTCCCTCTCGGTTCCTCTCCTGGAGTGTAGCTTCCTTCCTTCCCAACAATTCCCACACCACACAGGGCCCCTCTCCCACCCAAGGGGCTGGGGTGAAAAGCCATGGGGCACCAGGAGCAAGCGCACCTTCTGCATGCCCAGCTGGCATGGGCCCACATACAGTGGGGGTGGGGTCTCCGTGCTGGCCAGCGACACATTGTCCTGGCTGGGCAAGTCCAGCTCCCGGAGGACCTGGGGCTTCAGCCTGCCGTACCGCTGGCTGCAGTGGCGGATGCTCTTGCGCTGCCACTTCTGGGTGCTGTCGCTGTCCTTGCTCACTCCAAACCAGTCAGCCGTGCCCCTGACAAGGCAGGGACTTAGCAAGGGGCCCTTGCACCCCCTCCTCCTCGGCATGGGCCTCAGAGCCCAGCCTACCGGGCAGCATGCCCCACGCCAGGCCCATTCAAGCTAGGACCAGAGTCCACAGAGAGGGCACAGTTACGAAGACAAGTGGAGTCCAGCCCTAACCACCCCTGGCTCACTCTGATTCCTACCAGATCACCCTACCGCCTTGCCCAGTGGCATTCCACAGCGGCCCTCACCCCTCCCTGAGTCCAGAGAGAGAACTCAGCTGGACAGCAGCCACACACAGCCAAGGACAGCACAGAGCACAGAGCACGGGAGCTGCTGACTCAGGCAGGCTGCCCAGTCTTTGGACATGCAAACAAAAAGACTGCCATCATCTACCGTTAGGAGCCCCAGGAAATGGCAGCCATTCATGCTGCACAGCATGCACGTGCCAGTGAACACAAACACACTCATGATCTGCCTGAGGTACCTGAACAGGGACCAAGAGAGAGACTGGCGCTGTGGGGGGACCCTGTGGGCAGCCCGGGGGCCCAGGAGGGGCAGAGTGTGGACACGCCCAAAGCGCACCTGTCGGCTGTGGGGGGCCAGAGCATTAGTGTTGGGGAGACAGGCAGAGGCGGCAGAGAGCAGTCCCAAGCACAGGAAGAAGGGGGAGCAACGTGGGGACCAAGATGGAGGAGAAAAGTGAGACAAGGGCCCCCAAGCTATTCCCAGCCCCAGTGCCCAAAGGTACCCGCCCCGCCCCTCTGCCCCAGAGTGACCAGGGCTGTGGTACCTGCGGATGGTCTGTGTGATGGACGTCTGCCGCTGCAGCGCAGGCCGCCGAGGCTCGGGGTAGAGGGGGGGGACGTGGGCCGTCTCGGCCGGCATACTCACACTCCGCAGGTAAACCTGGCGCCGGAGGGGCTAGGCAAGGAGGCCGCAGTGAGGAGCCGGGGCGGGGCTTGCCCGCGGCCCTGCCGGCCAGGGCCGGGGCAGTGAGGAGCCGGGGCGGGGCTAACCCGCGGCCCTGCCGGCCAGGGCCGGGGCAGGCAGCCTACCTGCAGGAGGCCGGGCTCCTCTGCCGCCAGGGGCACCACAGCCGGGATGTCCAGCCTGAGCCAGGGGGGCTTCTTGCGCTGCAGGCTGCTTGTGCCATCCCTCCGGGCCTCGCTCATGGTTCCAGGAGGAGAAGGCCTGGCGAGGAGAGGGGAGTGCTGTGCCAGGCAGGCACAGTAACAACAACCTGGAGAGTCTGGAGCTGTGACAGGCCCAGGCAGTGGAGAGGCGCAGTGGTGAACCCGACGGAGCACCCGCCTGCTCTGTGCGGCCTCAGCCTCCTCGGATCCCTTCTCAGACAAGCAGCCTTGCTGTTCCAAGGAGACAGGCACTAAGGAAAAACTGCTAATGCTGAGCATGCTTGATTCATTTTTCCCACACTACCACCCAGCCCCACTACATGCCACCTTCAACAGACCTCCAGTTGCTGTCAGGAACAGGAGGCTGACACCTACGATTCTAGGTACCTGAGAAGCTGAGATAGAGTGACCCATAGTTCAAAGCCAGCTGGGCAAGAAAGTTCACAAGACCCCTTCTCAACCAAATGTTGGGTGAGTCTTCCTAGCCATGTATGAAGTATTAAATAGGCAGGTGGCGGTCCAGGAACCCACCCAGGGAAGAATCAGCATCCTGCCTCAAAATACCCAGTGTCAAAAAAGACTAGAAGGGTACGCATCCACAGTAGAGCACCCACCTATCAGCCCAAGGCCAAGTTCAAGCCCAGGGGCACAACCCAAAAAAAATTTCACTTTATCACTTAAACACATCAACTTGTATTTGTGTATGTGTGTGTGACACAGACAGACAGACAGACGGCGTATGTGTGGCGTTTTCTGCATATGTGGTACTGAGGGATTGAACCTAGGGCTTCACACACTCTCCCACTAAGCCTCTTCCCAGTGCTGTGGAATTTTATCCAGTGAACACCCCAAAAGCCAGAAGTGGAGCTGTGGCTCAAGTGTTAGAGCACTAGCCTTAAGCAAAAAAGCTCAGGGACTGTGCCCAGGCCCTGAGTTTAAGCCCCAGGACTGTCTAGAAGGGGAAAAAAAAAACAGAATTCCACAGCTTTTCCTGCCTAGGCTGGCTTGAACCATGATCCTTAGATCTCAGCCTCCTAAGTATCTAGGATTATATGAGCCACTGGCACCTGGCAGCACATTCAGTTTTACCTTGCTTTTTAGGTACAATTTGCTTTTTTTTTTTTTTGGAATGGGAGGTAGTTATTTGGAGTTAAGAGTCTCGTGGGCTTTCCTGCCTGGGCTGGCTTCAAACTGTGATCCTCAGATCAGTTTCCTGAGTAACCAGGATTATAGTTGTGAGCCACCAGTGCCCAGCTATTTACTTTTTAGGAGACATATATTCACAAAATTAAGGGTGGAGAAATACTGCAGAGCACACAGTCATTTAAACTGACAGTAACAAGAGACAGAGCTTCTTTGCATCAGCTGAGCTATGTAATATACACATTGATAAATTGATTTTGAAATTTTTTGTTTGTTTGTTGTCAGTCTTGGGGCTTGAACTTAAAGCCTGGGCTCTATACCTGAGCTTTATTGGTAAAGGTTAGGGCTCTACCACTTCGAGCCACAATACTACTTCCAGTTTTCTGGTGGTTAACTGGAGACAGGAATCTCACAGCTTCAGTCCTCAGGTCTCAGCCTCCTGAGCAGCTAGGATTACAGGCGTGAGCCACCAGCACCCGGCAACCCAAGGAAGCTTTGAACACATACCACCGATATACCTGGGTGAGAACCAAGCTCCTGCCCTCCTGGTCCTTAAGAGGGGAAATTTACAGTTTATGTAACATTAACCCTCTCAGTAAACGTACTCACAGGCTCTATGTGGTAGGGAAAATAACCCAGCAGGTTAGAGTTGCTTGGTGGGGTCTAGTGAGGCCCCTGTGACATACCAGCTGGGCAGAGGCCTCAGGGAGGAGGACTGAGGCCCTGGGCTGTGGGGCCAGGGACAAGGACCAGGCCTGGGGGGGGCTTGAGGCTCCAGCCTATCCACATCCATCTCGCCTCTCACCACCAGGTGGCAGCATGCACCAGAGGTGGCAGCGAGGCTGCTCAGGCAGATGGGAGCGCGCGGGCACCCTGAACACCAGAGGCCAGGTCCAGGGAAAGACCCAGCGCCTTGGCTTCCTGGGGCCCCTTACAAGGGTGCTCATGGCACATCTGCATGCGCCCCTTCCAGGGGCCCGAGATAGATGCAAGGGTGGCAGACCCTCTGCGCACAGACATGGGTGGAGGTGGGGTTTTCTGAAGTAAGACTTGGAAGGTAGAAAGCACAAAATTCCTGTCTCCTCAACATGTGACACCCAACAGCTGTGCTACAGGGTGTGTACCAGGCATCGATGCACCAGACATGGCTTCCACTTGGGAGTTTCTCTCTTGTCAGTCATGGGACTTGAACTCAGGGCCTGGGCTCTGTTCAGGGCTAGACCTGAGCAACAGCTCCACTTCTGTTTTTTTCTGTGTATGTGGTGCTGAGGAACTTAACCCAGGGCTTCGTGCCTGTTAGGCAAGCGCTCTACCTCTGAGCCACCTTCCCAGCTTCTCCACCCCTTCTTCCCCCCCAGTCCCCCCAGCTCTTTTTGCTCAGGGCCAGCGCTCTACCACTTTGAGCCACAGCGCCACTTCTGGTTTTCCAGTGGTTAACTGGAGATAAGAGTCTCAAGGACTTTCCTGCCCAGGCTGGCTTTGAACTGTGATCCTCAGATCTCAGCCTCCTGAGTAGCTAGGATTACAGGACTGAGTCAACAGTGCCTGGCAGGAGTTTTTCTTCATTGCTTTAGAGGAAACAGAAGTGTACACACACACACACACACACTTACATTATACAAATGCAGAAAGTGAGGCCTGGGCTGGGAAGGTGGCTCAGTGGTAGAGTGCTTGCCTAGCATGCATGAAGCCCTGGGTTCAATTCCTCAGCACCACATACACAGAAAAAGCTGGAAGTGGTGCTGTGGCTCAAGTGGTAGAGTGCTCGCCTTGAGCTAAAGAAGCTCAGGGACAACACCCAGGCCCTGAGTTCAAGACCCAGGACTGGCAAAGAAAGAAAAAAGAGAGAGCCGGGCACTGGTGGCTCACATCTGTAATCCTAGCTACTCAGGAGGCTGAGATCTGAGGATCGTGGCTCAAAGCCAGCCTGGGCAGGAGAGACCGTGAGACTCCTATCTCCAATAAACCACTAGAAAACCGGAAGTGGCGCTGTAACTCAAGTGGTAGAGCACTTGAGGGACAGCGCCCAGGCCGAGTTCAAGCCCCACAGCTGACCAAAAAAAAAAAGAAAAGAGAGAGAGAGAGAGAGAGAGAGAGAGAGAGGCCTGAAGAACAGAGTAATATAACTACACAAGCCCAAGAGGTACTCCAGGCTCCTATTGGGCCTACATTGACCAGAGAAGGCCCACAGCACTGCGCTAGACTTGACTGACCAGGAACAGCTGTGGATGCTGCTCACCGCTCCTTCTGGCCTAGAGTGACCAGGACATGGGAGACAATCCTTCAGACATTTATGCCTGACTCTAACCCTGACCTAGCTCCAATCCCTTCTCTGAGCTATGCCCCGCTTACAGCAGCTGGGAAGTAGAGCTGAAGGGAACTCCTAGGTGTGGTGGCCAAGGGTCCCTCCCTGCATTCACACGGCCTCTCTCGGGGCCATGGGTCAGGCAATTTGTCTTCACAGAGCTCCTGGCTACCGTGTTGGGAGGATGAACTGTCAGGAAGGCATCCTGACTGCAAAGTGAGTGAGGCAAGGTCTCAATAGAAACTGAACCATTCCAGGCTGGAACACTGTGCACCATACACCCAGCCCAGAGCTGGGAGCAGAGCCCTTCCTAGGAGAGTCCATCCAGCCCACCCCACCTGCCAGGGACCCTGTGATGGCCGTACAGTCACCTGCCAGTTAGTGAGCGGAGTCAAGAGCCGCCCCTAGGTCTGAATCTGACACAGTCCTAGGTATAAGGGTCAGGGAGAACCTGCTGAACCTCCCAGGAAGCCAGGCCAGACCTGCTGGAAGGACCAGGTGGTCAGCTGACCAAGGACAGCCATGCCCACAGAGACAAGTAGGCCAGGCCAGACAGGACAGAGACCCCAGCACTCCAAGAGGGACAGAAGCTACTCTGCCTTCCATCCACCAAAAGGAGAGACTGGCTGGTCCTACTACCCATCAGCCAGATGGCCTGGCTAGACTCCATCTTCTCACCTGGAAAATGACCCGTGCTGTTAATAAGCCTGTTATGTGGCCCAGACAGGAACAGGGTCAGGCAGAGCCTGCTGGGAATGCACAGGTGAGCGGTGGTGACCAGCAGAGGTGCAAGCAGCTCTGCAAACGGATCCACACACCCCAATCCTCAGCCTGTCTGCACAGACGGTGCCTTCCTCCCCCCAGCCCTGCCCTGGCCATCTCCCCGTTTCCTGTGTGATGGAGGGCCTGCTCTTCAGTCACGCTGCTCCACCCAGCAGGCACCCTTGCCAACAGAGGGGCAGAGGACAGTCCCCAGACGCAGTGGCAATGGTGGTTACTGAAGCAGATGACCCTCAGCTGGACCTTCAAGGGGTCCCTGTCCGGCACAAAGGAGAGCACGAACAGCTCCCAAAGCGGGGAGAAGGGCAGAGCGCTGTGCAGTGAGGCTAGCCCTACCCTCAGCCCTGCCAGCTCTGCTCAGGTCGCCCAGCCCCTCCTCCTGGGGTAGAGGAAGGAGGGTACAAGAGAACCCACATTGCTCTATGTCTAAAAGCAAGGCAAGGACACCCACCCGCCCCGCAGGGCGGTGACCCCGGCCTGTTCCGTCACTGCACACTCTGCTCCTTATGTGAGCCTCAAGTTGGCTGGATTCACAAAGCATGGGGGAGGGGCAGGCCCAGGCCAGGGGCACCACCATATGCCCACAGTAGCTCAGTGTCCAGGGGCACAGTGGGCTCTTGTTCACCAACAGCCCCGGGGACTCTTCCACTCTGGGGCTCCACAGTACAGAGGAGGGCCCGTGGAGGGCCTGTCCGCCTGGGGTCACGCAGCGTGAGTCACCCCAGCCGCTCGGAGACGCCCACACGGACATGTAGCACGATGAGGTCTGTGGGGCAGGCCTGAGTCAGGGGCCACCGGGAACAGCGGAGCCTTCCACGCGCTCCACGCAGCTCAGAGGATGGAGGGGCAAGGACAGTCAGGGTGCCCAGGCTCTGCTTGTTGGAATCTACTCTGGAGACTGGCGGGAAGTGCCAATGCATTTCCTGGGGATACAGGAGTCCTGCCGACTCTAGTTCTGTGGTACAATGTCTGAGGGCTTGCTGGCCATCACTGGTGCATCAAGGAAGGGAGGAAGCGGGGAAAGCCAGGCCAAAATGCTATACCCGTAATCGATCTGTCTCCACCTCTAACTCTGGACAGGCCGTGGTTTTTTGTGTGAAGGATCACAGGTGATGACAGTGCCTGGCACATAGTAGGTGTTCATGAAGTGACGGCTGGCTCAACACAGGCATGTAGGAGCTCTGAGGGCTGCAGGAGGAAGTCAGGGTGGGAGCCTCACCGTGGAACGCTCCGGAGGTGTGGGGTTCAGTAACAGGCAGCCACCCAGGCACCAGTGGCTCACATGTACGTGAGGATCTCCACTCAAAGCCAGCCCATGAGACTCTTATCTCCAATGAACCACCAAGAGGCCAGACATGGAGATGTGGCTCCAGTGGTAGCATGCTAGCCTTGAGCTAAAACAGCTTGGGAACAGTGTGCAGGCCCTGAGTTCAAGCCCCAGGACTATCACCAAAAAAATAAGAAAAAAAGAGTAAAGGGCCGCTAAGAAGCACTGGGAGCCTGGAAGCCGGCGGGAAGGACATCCCTAGGGTCACGCACACTCTGCTCTGCTCTGCTCTACCCCACTCGCCCTGGCTCAGACCCTGTTTTCTCTTCCAGCCTGGTGCTCAGCCTCAGTCCTCCCTAGGGAGATCACAGCTCTGGAGCCTGGACTCCAGTTCTTCACCACATACTACTGTAGTAAAGCAAACGTTTCCTAGCTTGTCTCCTTGCACCATCTCTAAGCATCACCATGTGGAGACTCCCTTTGCAATCCACAAAGCACTCTAGTCCTCACAGTCTTTTTCTGTGGAAGAACCAAGCTTCCACATGCAACAGGGCAGGCTGATACCAAGCCAGCGGCCTCCACAGCACCTTCTCCCTCAGATCTCCCCCCTTCCCCCCACGGCCCTGTCACCTGACATGCTGGAGAGCATGGAGAGCAGCAGCCACAGAGGGCTTTTGGCTGCGGTCTGGGAGATGTGGCGGAGGCCGTGGTACTCTGGGCCCTGACATAGAAGGTAGTCTACAGGACGGACAGAGGGGCTACCCATGGAGGGCATTATCCCGTGCTCCAGCCATGGAGGGCATTATCCTGTGGTCCAGCCATGGAGAGCATTGTCCCGTGGTCCAGCCATGGAGGGCATTATCCCGTGGTCCAGTCAGCCATGGAGGGCATTATCCCGTGGTCCAGCCATGGAAAGCATTATCCTGTGGTCCAGCAATGGAGGGCATTATCCCGTGGTCCAGTCAGCCATGGAGGGCATTATCCCATGGTCCAGCAATGGAGGGCATTATCCCGTGGTCCAGCCAGCCATGGAGGACATTATCCTGTGGTCCAGCCAGCCATGGAGGACATTATCCTGTGGTCCAGCCAGCCATGGAGGACATTATCCTGTGGTCCAGCCAGCTAGGAGGCATTATCCCGTGATCCAGCCATAGAGGGCATTATCCCGTGGTCCAGCCATGGAGGGCATTATCCCGTGGTCCACCAGCCATGGAGGACATTATCCTGTGGTCCAGCCAGCTAGGAGGCATTATCCCGTGGTCCAGCCATAGAGGGCATTATCCCGTGGTCCAGCCAGCCATGGAGGACATTATCCTGTGGTCCAGCCAGCTAGGAGGCATTATCCCGTGGTCCAGCCATAGAGGGCATTATCCCGTGGTCCAGCGAGCTATGGAGGGCATTATCCCATAGCCATGGAGGGCATTATCCCGTGGTCCACCAGCCATGGAGGGCATTATCCTGTGGTCCAGCCATGGAGGGCATTATCCCGTGGTCCAGCCAAGCCATGGAGGGCATTATCCCGTGGTCCACCAGCCATGGAGGGCATTATCCTGTGGTCCAGCCATGGAGGGCATTATCCCGTGGTCCAGCCAACCATGGAGGGCATTATCCCGTGGTCCAGCCAGCTATGGAGGGCATTATCCTGTGGTCCAGCCATGGAGGGCATTATCCCATGGTCCAGCAATGGAGGACATTATCCCGTGGTCCAGCCAGCACCCATAGTCCAGGGGTGGCTGATGGCCAGAGTCAAAGCTCCCAACGAAGTCTGGACTGACAAGAGACACACCTGGGTGAGTCAAGGCTCAGAGAGGTGAGGGTCCATCCAGACACCAGAGCCAGAAGAGGTAAGAATGGGACTCAGCTGTATCATTTCCTGGGTGTGAACCACCTGCTAAGCTGGATACTTGTGCAGCCCAGCCAGGCACTGGGAGTTAAGTGGCAGCATGCTCCCCTGGAGGGCAGGGACATCCACACGTGATAACAGCAGATGAGCAACCCAGTCTCAGGTCAGCTCACAGACGTGCCCTAACAACCCCACAAACTGCTTCCTGCTACCCAGCAACACTTCCTGGAAGCAGAATCAGACTGACAGCTCCTGAAGGGGAAACGGAGTCAGCAAAAATGGCTTCATCCTCAGGAACCTGGCACACCTCCCTCAAACCTGATTCTAGGCCTGGTGGTACAAGCCTGCAATCCCAGCACTCAGGAGGCTAAGGAAGGAGGATCCTGAGCCCCAGGCCAAGCAAAACACTGTCTAAAACAAACAAGAGTCCTGACCAACCCCACTGGTCTGCCTTACCCATAGGAGAAGAGAGGTCCTTCATGTCTATCTTATCCTAACTATTCAGGAGGCTGAGATCTGAGGATTGAGGTTCAAAGCCAGCCTGGGCAGGAAAGGCCATGAGACTCTTATCAAAATCACCAGAAAACCGGAAGTGGTGCTGTGGCTCAAGTGGTAGAGCACTCACCTTGACCTGAAGAGCTGAGGGACAGCACCCAAGCACAGAGTTCAAGCCCCATGACTGACAGAGAGAGGGAGAGAGAAGGAGGGAGGGAGGAAGGGAGGGAGTGAGGGAGGGAGACTGAAACTCAGGCCAGCCACTGCCTGAGGTCAGTGAACCTCAAGGGACCCAACACCACAGCCAGGTGGGCAGGGCTGTAGGTCCAGCAGGAGCTGAGGTGGGAAGGGCTGGTCTGCCACTGGCTGTAGAGCACCTGGGCCTCAGCTCTAGGCTGTCAAGGACCCCCAGCATCCTGGACAACCTTCTTAGAAGTATCTCAGCTCAGACAGGCAGGAGGCACTTATAAAGACAACACAGAAGACACGCAGAAGCAAGGGCTCTGTGCTGGGGAAGGAAGTAACCCCGCAGAGACGTCGAGGTGGGACAGTCCTTCCATCCGGGTCCCGAGAAACAGCTGCAGCCAGAAAGGTCCTAGGGGAGGACCATCAAAAGCAAGGTCCTAGGGGAGGACCATCAAAAGCAAGGGGGCTGGGGTTCCTCTGAGTCAGATCCTCCAGAAAGCCACGGCATCAGGAAGGGACAGGCAGGGCCTCTGTGCACAGGAGCTGACAGCCCACGGATCGAAGCAGTGCACAGGCCTGGGAAGGAGCCCAAGGAAGCTGCCTTCCATCCCGACCTGCACACCCACGGGTCCCCACTCCACGCTGAGAGGAGGCCCAGCTTGCCAAGACCCCAGTGCCCAGGGCTCGGCACCAGGGGCCCCTCCAGATGCTGGAGGAGCTGGCTCATGGGTGGGGAGGACCCGGCAGGGAGTGGGGAGGACCCGGCAGGGAGTGGGGAGGACCCGGCCCGGAGTGGGGAGGACCCGGCCCGGAGTGGGGAGGACGAGTGGGGAGGACCCGGCCGGGAGTGGGGAGGACCCGGCCCGGAGTGGGGAGGACACGGCCCGGAGTGGGGAGGACCCGGCCCGGAGTGAGTGGGGAGGACCCGGCCCGGAGTGGGGAGGACCCGGCAGGGAGTGGGGAGGACCCGGCCCGGAGTGGGGAGGACCCGGCCGGGAGTGGGGAGGACGGAGTGGGGAGGACCCGGCCGGGAGTGGGGAGGACGGAGTGGGGAGGACCCGGCCCGGAGTGGGGAGGACCCGGCCCGGAGTGGGGAGGACCCGGCAGGGAGTGGGGAGGACCCGGCCCGGAGTGGGGAGGACCCGGCCCGGAGTGGGGAGGACCCGGCCCGGAGTGGGGAGGACCCGGCAGGGAGTGGGAGGACCCGGGGAGTGGGGAGGACCCGGCCGGGAGTGGGGAGGACGGAGTGGGGAGGACCCGGCCGGGAGTGGGGAGGACGGAGTGGGGAGGACCCGGCCCGGAGTGGGGAGGACCCGGCCCGGAGTGGGGAGGACCCAGCTCAAGGCCGGGCTTCCCCGGGCTGAACCTGAAAATCCAGTTTCATCCTGAATCTTCTCCCACCCCAACTGTCCCACTGTCCCGGCGGCGCGGGCCTTGCCCCCGGACCGAGAGACACACAGACAGACAGACACACCCCGCCGCTGCCTGGAAGAAGTGCGACCAGCACGGGGCTGGCGCCTCCGGACGCAGGCCTCACCCCCAGCGACAGAC